TTTACCTCATTTTTCAAGATTTTGTGTGACTTTAAAGTTGTTTCCTACATTATTAAGTGTGTAGAAATTTATGGTGAAATCCAATTTTCATAAAAATGAATGCATCATTTTTAATAATGCAATTACACCCATTTTTTCACTTAAATTTTTAGAGCTCAATTTTCATTCTTTTTTCACATTTTAAACTTTTTTCCTACACTTTCAGACATGTATAAATTTATGGAAAAAATTATTTTGCATTGAAGTGAGAACTACATCTTGTATACTGCATTTGACACCGTTTTTTTTTTATTTAATTCTTCACTTTTTCACTCAATTGTTTGCATTAATTTTTTTACCTTATTTTTTCTGCTTTTTTGAAATTTGAAAGTTGTTTCCTACATTTCAAAGTGTTTAGAATTTACTGGTAACATTCAATTTCCATAAAACTCAACGGTTCATTCTGAATACTGTAATCAGCCTTAAAATTCAATTGATTTTTAAGAGCTTAATTTTCATGCTTTTTTGACATTTTAAATTCATTTCCCACACTTTGAGACATGTTAAAAATTATGGTAAAAATAATTTTGCATCAAAATAAAATCTGTATCTTGAATAATGCCTTTGACGTGTTTCCTTAATTACTTCTTACACACTTAATTATCCTTATTTTTTGGAATTTCAAGTTCATTTCCTACACTTTGAAAGGTTTTAAAATTTTTGGCTGTATCCATTTTGCATTCACGTAAAATTTGTATACGGGACAAATTATGCAAGAAACGGCGTAAACTCATGTATTAAGATTGAAGCTTGTATTTTTAGGGAAATTGGACTTCACCATTCAATTCCACACATTTTTAAATGTAGCAAATAAATTCAAAATTTCAAAAAATGATTAAAAACCAGCTGGTAAAAAGCAATTAACAAAACATTAAAAAAACATGTCCAACGCAGTATTCAATAACATTCTTTGGTTTTTATGCAAAATGATTGTTACCATCATTTTAATCATGTCTAAAAGTGTGGGAAACAAATTTAAAAAGTCAAAAAAGAATGAAAATTAAGCTGTAAAAATTTAAGTTAAAAAAGTGTCTAATTTCAGTATTCAAAGTGAAGAGTTGAGTTTTAGAAAATTTGAATTGCGCCATTAAATTCTGCATGTTTTGAAACCTAGGAAATAATTTTAAAATCTCAAAAAAAACATAAAAAATAAGGGCCTTAATAAAAAAACCCACATTTTCCGCGTTTTGACGCGCTTTTGCTGCGGCACAGCACACGTGCATTCCGCTTTTAAACCCGCATTTTTAATTAATTTTTTTTTGCCATTAATTTCGAGTTTTTTTGATTTTTTAAAAAATTTTCCTACACTTTGAAGGGTGTAGAATTTAATGGTAAAGTCCATTTACCATAAAAATGACTTTGATTTTTTTTTTTTCTGCTTACTCATTTTTTCAATTAATTGTTTGCATGCATGTATGTACCTTATTATTTATGCTTTTTTGAAATTTTAAAATTATTTCCTAGGTTTCAATGTGTGCAGAATTTAATGGTGCAATCCAATTTTTTTAAAACTCAATGGTTCATTTTTAATACTGAAATTAGACCCATTTTTTCACTTAATTTTTTACAGCTTAATTCTCATCATTTTTTGACATTTTAAATTTATTTCCCACACTTTAAGACATGTAGAAAATGATGGTAACAACCATTTTTCCCCAAAATGAAAACTATACCTTGAATGCCGCATTTGACACGTTTTTTTTAATTAATTCATCACTTTTTCACTTAATTGTTTGCATACATGTGTGTACCTTATTTTCTATGCTTTTTTGAAATTTTAAAGTTTTTCCCTACATTTAAAAGTGTGTAAAATTTAATGGTAAAATTCAATTCCCATAAAACTCAACGGTTCATTCTGGATACTGTAATTAGTCATATTTTTCAATTGATTTTTAAGAGCTTAATTTTCATTATTTTTTGACATTTTAAATTTTTTTCCTACACTTTCAAACATGTATAAAATTATGGTAACAATGAATTTTCATCAAAATGAAAACTATATCTTGAATAATGCCTTTGACGTGTTTCCTGAATTAATTCTTACACGCTCAACTATCCTTATTTTTTGGAATTTCAAGCTCATTTCCTACACTTTTCAAGGTTTCAAAATTGATGGCTGTATCCATTTTGCATTCAAATAAAATTTGTATATGGTACAAATTATGCAAGAAACAGGGTACACCCATCTATTAAGATTGAAGCTTGTATTTTGAGTGAAATTGGACTGCACCATTCAATTCTAAACATTTGCAAATGTAGGAAATAAATTTAAAATAAAAAAATGCTTAAAATCAGGCCGGTAAAAATCAATCAAAAAAACATTAAAAAAAGCCTGTCCACTGCAGTATTCAGTAACAAGCGCTGATTTTTATGTAAAATGATTGTTACCATAATTTTATAGATGTTTGAAAGTGTAGGAAACAAATTTAAAATGTCAAAAAATAATGAAAATTAAGCTCTTAAAAATCAATTGAAAAATATGACTAATTACAGTATCCAGAATGAACCGTTGAGTTTTATGGGAATTGAGTTTTACCATTAAATTTGACACACTTCTAAATGTAGGAAACAACTTTAAAATTTCAAAAAAGCATAGAAAATAAGGTACACACATGTATGCAAACAATTAAGTGAAAAAGTGATGAATTAATTAAAAAAAACGTGTCAAATGCGGCATTCAAGGTATAGTTTTCATTTTGGGGAAAAAATGGTTGTTACCATCATTTTCTACATGTCTTAAAGTGTGGGAAATAAATTTATAATGTCAAAAAATGATGAGAATTAAGCTGTAAAAAATTAAGTGAAAAAATGGGTCTAATTTCAGTATTAAAAATGAACCGTTGAGTTTTAAAAAAATTGGATTGCACCATTAAATTCTACACACATTGAAACCTAGGAAATAATTTTAAAATTTCAAAAAGGCATAAAAAATAAGGTACATACATGCATGCAAACAATTAATTGAAAAAATGAGTAAGCAGAAAAAAAAAAATCAAAGTCATTTTTATGGTAAATAGACTTTACCATTAAATTCTACACCCTTCAAAGTGTAGGAAAAAATTTTAAAAAATCAAAAAACACTCGAAATTAATGGCAAAAAAAAATTAATTAAAAATGCGGGTTTAAAAGCAGAATGCGCGTGTGCTGTGCTGCAGCAAAAGCGCGTCAAAACGCGGAAAATGCGGGTTTTTTTATTAAGGCCCAAAAATAAAGTACATACATGCATGCAAACAATTAATTGAAAAATGAGTGGAAAAAAAAATTAAGAATCAAAAGTCATTTTTATGCAAAATGGACTTTACCATTAAATTCTACACGTTTTTTAGTGTAGGAAACAATTTTAAAAATTAAAAAAAATTAAAATTAACAGCAAAAAAAAATTAATTAAAAAAGCGGGTTTAAACGCGGAATGCGCGTGTGCTGCGCGCAGCAGAAACCGCGTCAAAACGCGGAAAATGTGGGTTTTTTTATTAAGGCCCATTTAAGAATACATTTTAATCCCAAAAAATTATGGCCTTCCCTATTTATTCAGACTACAAATCCAATCATAACCAGACATGAAGAAATTGAACACATTTCAGTCCATTTTGAAGAAATTTTATTGCAACACCATAGAAATATTGAGTTTTTGCTTCGGGGAAACAAAAAAAACAGGTACTATGAAGAGAGATTGATGAATGCTAGGATCCAACAATCCAAAGAATTGATTGAATTATTCATGGAAAAAATTTCAACACAGTAAACAACCTATGTTTGAATCCAAGAACTTCTATGGGGAGGCAAGTGGATCCAAATGATGTGTTTCAATACTTGGATGAATGTATCCATCAACGCAAATTCCAAATGAATTTTTATTCTTAATTGTGTGGTGCATTTTTTTGTACATCTTGTAAAGAAGTAATTCATTTTTATTCATCCCAATCACTCTTGCTCAAAAAATCTTGACCTTCCAACAACTCCACTGAGATACATTCAATCTCTCTCAAGGCTCTTTTTTTTCTTATGCTCAACAACATTCTGGTTTTCTTGCATTCATCATCAGTCCCAGCAATTAAGAGTGCACTTCCTGTCTGGTAAGAATCTCTCCTAGCCATTATGAGTGTACATACATACACTCTTGGTGAGTTTTAAATCTCAAATGCCATTTAAACAGTTTTTGATTCCAAAATAATGGCTATTTGAACTTGAGAACATAAAATATTTCTCGATATTATTGTTTAAGATGAAACAAAAGATATTAGAAATTGTTTGCTTGTGCTTGGGTACCTAGGTACCTGTTCAATTTTTTAAGAAAATAGGTACCAAGTACTGCACCTGGCACCACCCAGCAGGTACCACCGGTACTTTACCTCTCTTTTTCAATTAGTTCCACTAGCAATCTCAACGTTACTTCATGCCCTGTACTGGATATGCCGTAAAATGAAACTGGATGTGCTGTTTTTTTTTTTCAATTTTTCACACTATTTTCACAAAAAAAAGAGGAAAAAAATACTGCATATCCAGTACTGGATATGAAGTACTGTTGAAAGTGTAGTCAATTTCTCCATATATTGTAAAATATGCAGCCCCCCCCATCCTATGTTAGGGAAGTGGGGCAGTACCCATGGTACCACCTGGGCTTTTGCCCCAAAGGAGACACCTGGCACCTTCCAGCAGGTGCCAGCAGTACCTTTCAAAGCTACAGTCAAAAAATTATAGCTCCAATTAATCATTCTATATATTTTAGATTTAGTTTCAGTAGGTAAAAAAATAAGAATTATAACAATGGATCAACTTTGAGTGATTTTGTTTGTGAAATGAATTTAGCTAGTGCATATAACATCACTCCAATTCAGAACCATATCAAAAAGCACATATAATCAACTTCTAATGAAGATCAAAACTGTTCTAATTTCTGGCATTTCAACTTCTATGTACTACCACGTCCTGTTACACAAGAATCTTCTGAATTTCAGAGATGATTATCCTGTCATCATCTTCAATTTTGAAGAAACTTGTTGAGATAAATCCGGACTAGCTTTAGCCAGCCAATTGATCAAGTTAGTTTGTATATCCAGTGAAGAGACTACACTCAATCCACCAGCAATATTTCTAGGGGTCAACAAAAACCAGCAGGTAAGTGATCAAACACTTGTTTCTATATCCATGAGAAAATGAGTTGAGTCCTACTCACTGGATTAGTTCAGATTTTTGGTCTTGAGTCAAATTCCCATAAAAGAAACTTGGCTGCTCGAAGTCTATCGGTGAAATCTGTTTTTGTGGGCAATAAAAAATTCTCAGTTGCCAATGTAGAAAAAAAAAAGATACAATAGACGGACCTGGTTCAAAGATTTAAGCGCTTGGTTGATCCACAAGCTATGACCGGAGTCGTACTTAGGAGCGGTAGTAGTTGAACCATTTGGGATTTGAGTTGGATTGTTCAGCATTTGAGCAGAGTTTTTGAGAATTTGAGCAGGATTATTGAGCGTTTGAGCTAGGCAACAGTGGAAAGGAGATTAAAAGGTATTTCAATAACCGGTTTGTTTTACTTCTAGCTCGACTGTTTATAGGCTTACCGTTCTGCAAAAATCTCTTCTTCATTTTTGTGGGATTGCCGGAACCAAGTCGGTACCGCTGTCGGGCAGTAATTTCAGTATGCTGTAAACCTGAATTCAATGCCTATTGATGCCGTCGTCTAGTTACTCACCGAGCTATCACTATAGGCAAACAGTCTCATTTGCAAAACTGGGTCCTGGCTTGCTGCCCAACCTGGAATCACATTCGCGGGTGAAAAGGCTAGCTTTTCTACCTAGAAAGTAACGTTTGGGCATGTTTGAAGTCGATTTCAATTGGCGCCGTGCTCATATCGGGGTATATGCGTTGAGTGAATTCACTTACTTCGGTAAAATAATTCGCTGGGTTCTGTTGCAGTCATTCACAAGTGAGTGCAGTTCATCATGCATACACGTGCGTATCCAAACAAGAGAACGTTTCGAAGAGAGAGGGTGTCAGCAAAACTACAGCGCTGAAGATCCCAGGTATGAAGGAGTTTATGACCTTATTAAGTTCCAAGACGCCTATCTCCTGTGGGACGACGAGCGAAGTAGGCCATTCCTCTGGAAAAAGAAAACGTCGCAGAGTTCGGGATTGGCATGAATGGGACGTAAAATCGGGCGATTGAAGCGCGATCGCCAGTTGAAATGTGACTCACTAGTATCATCAAGCACATTATATCTGAAGTTTTCCGCGTCTTTGGGAGACAAGACTTGGGCAAACATAGTCCAACGAGGGAATTGGCCGGCTTGAATAGAACTATATAGCTCCTTTGAATCATCGTGAAAAAATTGACAAAGTCATTGAGAATCACTTTTCTTATGAATGCATTTGAGGTCGCAAAAATTACAGCTAACTCACTCTGGCTCCATAACTGGGATCTGATATTTGCGCTTGTTCTGAAGCTGTAAAATTTAACACGCCTTGTTTCGTTTCGAAGTTGATCCTCACATACGACCATGTACCTGTCGAAAGTTTGCCGTGATGTTATTTTGTATTGGTTTTTAAAAAATTTGTTCGGAGTCAAAATGCAAGTGTCTCAGTTGAATAAAATGATATCATGCGCCAAATCAAGTAAGCAGCTTCATAATCACCGTCACTTTTGTACCAGCGATAGGTGTTTATGCTCCAAGCATTAGTGTGAATCCATCCTAAGGGGATTTGTTAAACAAACAAACAATCCAGAAAAATGCAAACGTGAGCCCGAAACGAAAGAGAGAAAACGATGAGGAATTCGAAGGCAATTGACCTCTAGAAGCTCCAGCACTCGAAAAGATTCGAAGAAACATGTTCATAGTTTCCGGATTATTTGGGAAGTAGTTACTTAATATTTGACGCATGATTTTGAGAATTGTTGATCATCAGTGCCTTGAATGAGCCTCAAGGGCAGAAGAGCCCCCCTTGCCAAGAAAAGTGATAGATGCATTCATTGAAATCAAAGGTCTTTACTCACAACGCAGTATCCGCATTGCCCAAGTTGTTCAAAGGATCCCGACTTTGGCTTTGTATCAGAGGCGGAAACTTGGCTGGATCGCGAACTATGTGGGGAGAGACTTTCAGTATCAATATGAATGAAACGACTTGAAAGTGAAAAGATTCACTGAAGAACACCGGAGCGTTGTTTGCTGCCCAAGCACAAAAGATTAAGAGTCAAACTTAGCTAACTCATGCCCGTAAGTATCAATGAGAATTTCTGCATGTGTATCTCAGCTTACAGACTAAATCCCAAGCTCCTTGTTTAGTTTGGAACCTGAAAGAAAGAAATAAACCGCCATGTCAAAATGGTAGTACTATGCCGAAGCATGGCTAGAAGGACCAACTGACTTCATCGCGAATCCCCGGACGTTACGCGCGGTGTCAAATGAGCCTTTCTCGCCTTCAAAGCGGGCCGCCGTTGGGTTAGGAGCTCTTTCAGCATATCGTTCTCTGGATGTGGAAGGTATCATCTTACCAAGGGCGTTCGAAAATCGTACTGTTACTGGGGTAGTTTGACCGACTGTTTGATCATAATCAAAACCGCCTTGTAAGCCAAGTTGTGTGTGCGGTGACGGAAAGACACAAAAAATCATAATCTAATAAATTCTCCCGGCTCACCGTTGGAGAATAAATCCATGCTAGTTTGGCTCTGGGCAAAATTGGTGGTCACCGTGAACGTTCCGTACGCGCCCGCTTACATAGGAGGATGTGTGGGAAACGCAATAATCAACAAATTATTCTTTAGCTTGCCTCCGGAATGTCATTAAAGGGGTTGGAGAGAGTAGGACATCGGAAGAAAGGTAGCAACTCACCACCTGCAGCGTGAACAGGGCGAGCTGGAATGTTTTTGCGATCGAATTCGGACTGCTTCGCCAATGCATCTGGACTCAACGGAGCTGACAAAAATCGCGGTAGTAGCGAAAGGTAAGACGGTCCGGTATGAGCATCATAGTTGTACTATCCTAGCGAGTCATTGAATCTTCTTACCTATTGGAGCTGGTGAGGCCAATCCATTCAAACCATTCAAGGCCTTGGTAGAGTTGGCGGATGGTAAGATGGATGATAGACTTGGGATTTGAAACGAGGAAGCATTCAAGTTCCCAGGAAGTTGTTGAGAGGAACTGGTAGTTTCATTGGGCAGAGAGCTGCTCTCACTACGCTGAATGATACAGGGGAGAAGATGGGCTACAGACAAGAGAATTCGAGCGCTTTGGAGCATCTTGATTATCGCTACTTGGCTTCTGGAACTGCTACTGGTACACGGTTGGGATAGCACAGGGTAGGTTTTTGTCGGTGGTTACCATTACCAGAAGGACGGTGATTGTTATTTATCTGCTACTTTCGTAAATATTGATGGCCTTCAATGGAGGGAGGGATGAATCGATGGATAGCCCATCAAGCTTTCGTCGCGAGTACGCGCGGAAGTGATCGGCCATACACCCCTCTTGTTGGGAGCCGTGCCGGATCGGCTGTGAGATCAGTGTAATAGGAATCAAACTTGACGCTATTGGTCAATGGTATCATTTCGTCAATATTTGAACACTGGGACAATCGCATTATGATTCCTAAACCATCCATTTGAACACCATTTCGAGGAAATTACCCGAACTGAAAATACCAAACTATATTTGCTCAGTGGAATTGAAAACGACTGGGCAGACTGGCGAGGTCAAAGCAAAAAAAGGGGTGGTTCCACATCTCCGATCAACAAGTTCTCACAAATTCACAATAACAGTATCTATGTCGAAGTCAATGAGGCAGTGTGTGCGTAAAGGGTTCGGGAAAAATTCTAGTTCTAAACGTTGTGGTCAGTGTTGATTCGATGAAAGGAACCGGATTCAAAACAAAGCCGTAAGTTTTTTTTTACCTGCGATGAGTGGCTTTAAACTTTGGTGTCAAGCAGGAAACAGGTTAGTCGCACATACCCATGGCCATAGCACTCAATCTTTTTCCCGCAGCATTCTGAATGAGCTGCTCCTTGGTAGCACTCGACCAGCTGAGTTCCAAAGATGGCAGCACCAGGCTTATACGAGAGATGTCGCCCGCAAGGTTCGAGTAGTCCACGTCGAACTGGTTCCAGGAATTGATGAAAGAGGTCATGGGCGCGGATGAAAATTGCTCCAGGTTGGGCTATTTCTAGTTTCGAAGACCGACTGCTCGTCGTGACTCTTCAGTTGGAACCCATCAAGGAACCCTGGCAGAAGGATATCCCCCACGAAAAAAGGGCAGGCCGTGATCACCACCTATAAAAAGCTAGTGAGCAAGTTATCTCCATTCTACAAAGTGCCGTGACTTGTCATGAGGACGTAATGTTTGAACTTAACACGGGTCAACAGGCTCACCTGCCAGTCGGGAGCGCAGCAAGAGTCCTTTCATAATCTCGTGATTCTTCAATCCCAAAATTTGCGACTCATACCTTGGCTGATTTTTTGAGAAAGGATTAATTCCAGGTTGATGGGAAGTTCCTATTTCATGTAGAGAAGTCAGAATCCCCCCATTCAACCAAAAAAATTCCATCAGCCCAGACAAAAAAAGACCAAATGCTCAACACAGAATCAGCTTTGGAAGTTTTTTCTAAATGAGGAAAGAATCAAGACCAATGAATGTATGTATATACAGCCAAACCAAGAAACTTTGCGGTATTGGTTGGCAGAATATCCAAAAAATATGGACTGCAGTTGGGAGGTTTGGAAGAATATACAGCCCCATGTATGCCTGTTTGCACACAGTGATTAAAAATGATCATATTTGCTATCTATTTCTGCCCCTGTTTCCAGGTCACGGGAGCAAGACTGTAGGAATGCAGATGTGAATTTTCAGTCAGGATGGCACATCACAAGCCCTTCAGACCATCTCCACCCAGGGAGGTAAACTGCGCGGGTAAACTAAATTTACCTCCCCAAGCCCAAAATTCTGGAGGTAAATATAGTCCCCCCCCCCCTTGGGTTGTATAGCGTTGCTGGATGTGCAATTGCTATACCAACCCAAGTACCTCCCCAACCCAACGGTTTCACAAGGTCAATCCTGGTGAAATCCGGACTTCCCCCCCCCTACCAACCACTCGCATCCCCCAAAAGAAACAAAAACGGACCCTGCCTGCCACTCCTTGATCCCTTTGCCAACTGGGGGGTGGCCTTTCACGAATGAGGGATTGAGGATAGCACCCTGCGGTGGAAAATACTTTTTCCCAGGGTTGCTATCCTGTAAACCCCCTCCTCTGGTTGAGTTTTGCAAGGAAGTCTTGTACATGTCACCCCCTCTCTCAGTACTTCTGGTCCCGGTTTTCCCCTTCCTGACTCAGCAGAGATCTGACCCTCATTCTCTCTGAGCCAGTAATCAAATCCTGCCATGTTTGGTCTTACAAAACACTTAGGCTCTTCAGCCTGTAACATCATTGTCTTCTCTCAGCTCATCCAGTGAAGGACACATCCCATCCTTACATATCCGAGCGCCACAGATCCCAAGCTGGTAAGTTTACCAACACGGATGCCTCTGCGTGGTGGAGATGGTCTCTGTCAGCCTTAGAGATCCTCAAGAGTATCCAAAAGACTGCTTAATAATATATTACTTGTAATAATAATAAGAAAACCTAGAATATTATTTCATGAATGAACTTTTCATAATATTTTAGAGGGGGTTGCTCACTGGAACCACCCCCAAATTCCTACTCCTTTTAGGACTTTATCATAACTCAAGAGCCTCAGAGGTTAGTAGGAGTAAAAGTATAAAACACCTTAAAAATAATATAAAATAAAGATAAAAACAAATATTAAATTTATAGTTACAACTATAAATTTAAACTATAACCCAAAGTGTAGAAATTACCACCTTTGTTAAGTGTGTGGTAATTTCCATCAGTATTATTCTATTATAAGTAGACACATGATGTAATTGGCTATAACAATGCATTATGATGTCATGGGGACATAGATAATACTGTATTTAATCTACTACAATATTCTCATTACATCATGAGAGAACTACTATTGTAGTACATTAAATAAACATTCTAGAATATTCTAAGAATGCCCCCAAGGGGGACTCTAGAATATAAAAGGAGGCCATTCCTGGCCTAAGATTGGTTCCTCAGCATATTCACCCACAACATACTTAGTAAGTACAGTGAATATTCTCCTCCTACTTTTAGAGTAGTTATCCCAATCCCAATCCTCCTTTTACTACTGGAATTATTAGTGTGTAAGTTTGAAATTCCCCTTTCATCCCTCACTAAAATTCCTTATAAAGCAGTTGCTGCAAGACTACCACCTCTGACAAGTAGCCAATCAGCTCAAGTGCTTGCCAGCTGCTTCTTAGCAATTATTATTGCTATAAAATCCAAACTATAACAATTTATTAATTGTTATAATCTCCTGTTATTTGGTTCACTAGAAACAAATAAGCTTAAAGGAGTGTGGACTTAACCTTTGTGGAATTTGGACCACATATAAAGGGTGAAAAAGAGTAATCTTTTTCTTTGATAGTCCTTCAGCACAGTGATAGCACCTGGTTTTTATATCATTTAAACCAGTGTAGCATACACAGAGCTGACAAGTGGGGGCCTCATCTGCCTGATCCCTTGATCATAGAGCTAGAATTTTCTATAAGAAAATTCCCGCAACCTTAGAGCCAGAATTTTCTATAAGAAAATTCCAGCAACTTCCAAACCTTCTCTAGAAAAATTCCTGTGGTTCAATCACCACTATCCTCTCTCACACTCACCATTTTCCTGTAAAGACTTGTCCTTGACAAGAATTTAGTAGACAGGAACTCTCCCAGTGTTGAAATTTTTCTAAGAGCTTCCTGTAGAGAAAATTCAGTTTTTTTCTCCCTTCTCACCTGTTGAATTCTTAACATAAGAATACCCTAACGGGAATATTATTAACATCAATACATACCCTGGAAAATTTCTATAGAAATTTTTCTAGAAAACTCTTATCCTGAGAAATCCTCTTCCCTAACTACAAATCTCTTGGTACTGAAGCTATTGATTTCTTATTACCTGAGAATTCTATTAAAGAATCCATTTCTTTCACAAGTCTTGTTTCCATTTCGACGGCTTAGACCTTTGTGAAGAACAGCGAGTATCACGCAAGCAGCCAAGTCGTTCTGGAATAAACGACCGAGTTGAATAGAAAAATTTAAATAGATAATACACTACAACTATCTCAAGCTTCAGCGTTCAAATATTGAACTTGTACGAAGCCGCCGATAGGGAAAACTCATAGCGAATAGTCTCATTGGCAAGAGACTTAAAGGGCTTCATTATCTCCATCCCTTCTAGAAATTTCTCCACAGTACAGCGTACAACGAGGACTACTTCGAGCCTTTTTGCTGACCAGGATCGATCATCATTACTTCGTAGAATCAAATAAGATTCAAGCGATCTGTTAGTATCAATAAACAATAAACAAGAGCAACAAGTAAGGATACTTGTTGAGTGACTATTGATCAACGAAAACTTGCTGATAAAAAGAAACTGCAGTGTCCGAAAGTGTAGGCAGAACTCAGTCTGTACCACCAAACGCCTTAGCAAGTCCCATACAGGAGGCGACCATCAGACGCAAACCTCCGGCGAGTTTACCTTCACGCAATATAAAAAAAGATTTCGAAACAATAGCCGCGGTGAAAGAGTTATTGAAGAGTAATTTTTTAACCACATAAATATAAAATAGAAAAATAAATAAATAATAATTGTGATGGTTTCCTCCACCAGATCAGGAGTCAACCACGGCGCCAACCCTCCCCCAGCACGAAGAGGCCGAGGAAGGGGAAGGGGAAGATCTCGAGGTGGCAGTAAACGCGGCACTACCAGGTCAGTAACATCATCACATCCAGTTACATCAGAATCGGACCTAACTTCGCTGCCCTCCAGCGTTCAAAGGCAAGAAAGCCCTGTCAACGGGCCAGCTCAACGCAATAGATCTGCTTCAGAAATCAAAGCAGATCTACTTCAACGCGAAGGACGCGGAGGAGTACAATCTACTCCCCCACATAGTCAAACAAACAATCAAGACGTTCCGCCTCGTCAGGTCATTCTTGACCTGGCAAGAGACCTTGGCGAAACTCAACGGGTGGAACCCGTACAAGGAAAAAGCGGCAGCCGCGCTCTGGGCAAAGTTCAAGAAGAACCCAGTAGCGGCGAACTCGGCCACGGTGAAGGCGACGACCAGCGCGAACAACAACATGTTCAAGGGGTACAAGATCCCCAAGAACTCGATGAACAAAGACAAAGCGAGTGTCGAGAACGACAAGCTCATGACGAGCTTGAAGAAAAAAGAAATGGAAAAAAGAAAATGGAAGAAAGTCACTCACCTGGCTCAAGCCATGATCGAGTTCAGAGACGCAGCCAATTTCTAACTTCTCATCCTGTAGCTAGTACATCTAGAGTCCCTGTTCCCCCATCACCCTCTATTGTAACTAGTTCTAAAGTCTCTGAAATTGAAAACACAGAATTCTTTGACCAGATTCTCATCAAAAACATTATTCATATTGATCAAAAGATCAATGAGATTAAGCAAACATCTCAAAACAATCATTATGATGTGAGACAACTGGCACTTTCAGTTGCTGAGTACAATAAGGAATTCCAAGTATCCATTAATGAAGCAAGGAAGATACCAGGCATAGTACAAGCATTAAAAGAATTAAAAACCATTGTATTAAATCACCACAAATTAATGGATAACATTAAATCTAGAGATGCAAACAAAGAGAATACCATGAAAACAGAGAATTCAGATCTGTTATTGCTAGAGTTACAAAAATTAAGGAATGACCTTTATTCCAAAATAAACAAACATGATGTGTCTATCACTAAGGATATCACAGATAAACTAGAGAAACTCCACCTAGATAGTGATACAACTTCTGAAGCACAAATGGAAAATATTATGTTTATTTTGGAAAAAACAGAGCATGTGGAGAAAAATATTAACAATAGACTTAGTACAATGGAAGATAATATTAACACCAGAATAGATAACATGGAAATTAAACTGAACTCAACATTGAATGAGAAGCTGGAGGAGATACTGAAAAAAATGGCCAATGTACCAATGTATGCTCAGAACACCAGCAATATCATTCAGACCTCTAATGGTAGCTCTCACAGTCAGGAGATAAAGAGACCCATTAATGCCCCATATTTTCAAAATAATGATCCCCAGAGTTCCAAGACCCCTGAAGAATGTCATAATAGACAGACCCCTCCCCACATGCTACATAGCCATCAGAACTCAGAAATCAGGGAATCCAATAAGGATGGGAGCAGAATTGAGATACCTAGAATTAAAGACTGGCCTAAATTCACAGGTGAGGGAGAATATGACCATCTAGAGTTCATGAGGACCATAGATCTACTTAAAGAAGATTTTGAATTATCAGACCTTTCTATTTCAGGAAGGCTGAGTAGCCTATTTAAAGGAGCTGCCAGAAGATGGTTCAATGACATTAGAACTAGCCATGGTAAACAACCTTGGAGTTGGTGGAAGGAACAAATCCTCAGCAAATGGGGTAGCCCAGCTTGGAGGTATACTGTCGAAAATAAATTTGATGAGAGCATTTTCGACATAGAAAAAGACTCACCTATTAAATGGGTCCTAGCTCAGAAAGACAGACTCCAAGCACTGTGGCCATTCATGTCACAAGAAGACATGCACCTCAGAATTTTGAAAAAATGTGGAGGGGATTTAGAGCATGCTGTCAAGAGTAGAGCAACCAGAAATGCCTCCACTGAAGATATCATCAATATCCTAGAGGACATAACAACTAGGACAAAGATTGGGAGGAAATATCAGCATAAAAAGAGTAACACTGAGGAAGAATCACAATCCTATGCAAAAGTGGAATATAGCATTACTGGAGATACATCAAAGGTGGAAAATCCACACAAAGATAAAAAATGCTACAACTGCCAGAAGATAGGTCATACCTCTCACAAATGCCCACAGAAAGATGTCAAGGCAATAAACCAGGTGGATATAAGAGAGACACCCAAAAATGACCAAGGACAGAGCTCTGAAGACGAATTTGGTGATGGTTCTTCCATATCTAGTGAATCTGATTGAGATATAAGCATTAATGACTTGACGCTAAGGACATCCCCAAAGTAGAGAATTCTATGAGAAAACTTAACCACTCAAAGAATTAATTATTTTTTGTTCAAAAATAACTAATTCTTTTTTGGGAGAGGTAGGGAGTGTCAGCCTTAGAGATCCTCAAGAGTATCCAAAAGACTGCTTAATAATATATTACTTGTAATAATAATAAGAAAACCTAGAATATTATTTCATGAATGAACTTTTCATAATATTTTAGAGGGGGTTGCTCACTGGAACCACCCCCAAATTCCTACTCCTTTTAGGACTTTATCATAACTCAAGAGCCTCAGAGGTTAGTAGGAGTAAAAGTATAAAACACCTTAAAAATAATATAAAATAAAGATAAAAACAAATATTAAATTTATAGTTACAACTATAAATTTAAACTATAACCCAAAGTGTAGAAATTACCACCTTTGTTAAGTGTGTGGTAATTTCCATCAGTATTATTCTATTATAAGTAGACACATGATGTAATTGGCTATAACAATGCATTATGATGTCATGGGGACATAGATAATACTGTATTTAATCTACTACAATATTCTCATTACATCATGAGAGAACTACTATTGTAGTACATTAAATAAACATTCTAGAATATTCTAAGAATGCCCCCAAGGGGGACTCTAGAATATAAAAGGAGGCCATTCCTGGCCTAAGATTGGTTCCTCAGCATATTCACCCACAACATACTTAGTAAGTACAGTGAATATTCTCCTCCTACTTTTAGAGTAGTTATCCCAATCCCAATCCTCCTTTTACTACTGGAATTATTAGTGTGTAAGTTTGAAATTCCCCTTTCATCCCTCACTAAAATTCCTTATAAAGCAGTTGCTGCAAGACTACCACCTCTGACAAGTAGCCAATCAGCTCAAGTGCTTGCCAGCTGCTTCTTAGCAATTATTATTGCTATAAAATCCAAACTATAACAATTTATTAATTGTTATAATCTCCTGTTATTTGGTTCACTAGAAACAAATAAGCTTAAAGGAGTGTGGACTTAACCTTTGTGGAATTTGGACCACATATAAAGGGTGAAAAAGAGTAATCTTTTTCTTTGATAGTCCTTCAGCACAGTGATAGCACCTGGTTTTTATATCATTTAAACCAGTGTAGCATACACAGAGCTGACAGTCTCACCAATGCCTGAGCACCCCACATGGTGGCCCATCTAGTCCTGTAAGTGCCAGCAGCAAGGATCTTTCACCCTGTACACAGGTGGACTATATTTACTCCAAACCTTCTGACTGTAGTTGTGGGTTTTTATTTTGGATATTCTGCCCACCAAAACACAAGCTTTCTTGGTTTGGTTGCATATATATGGATGGTGTTCCCAACTGGATATCTATCTTTTTACTTGATGCTACTAGCTAGCATTGCTAGCTAGTGCTATACTTAGAGCATTCACATTTGTTGGCCATATTTCCAGGTTAACTAAATGTTGAAATTGTGAACTCAGGTGCTTAAGGGGATTGATGGCCAAAAAAGGAAGGGACTCTGTCACTCTTCATTGGGAAAGGCTCACGTAAAATGAGTGTAAGAACCAATGGTTTTTTATTCACTGTAAGTAGGCTAGCTTAAGTAGACTAAGTACAAGTGTTCAAAAAGTGGTTTGAGAGAAAATGAATAAAAAAGAATATTGAATAAAAATCAAGAGATAGAATTATATGAGTTCTTGGAAGAAACAATCTCGGCAGGACATCTCAGTCTCTTTTAGTCATGTAAGAAAATTTAATCAAGAAAAAAACAGAAATTCAATCACAAATATTCAGAGGTGTTAATTGTAAATAATCAGTTTTTAAGATTCAGATAGTGAAAGTACAAAAAGAAAGAAGCCACTCATTAAGACAGGAGTTGTTGATAAATTGTTATTGGGAGTTCTAATTAGACTACTAAGATGCATAAGATTCAACAAAAAACCAGCCATGGGGAACTATAATTCAGTCTATTTCAAGAAGATTCAAGAAAGGATAAGGAGAGAAAAAATTGGGAAAGGAGTAAGTGATTTTGGGGAGGAGTAGCCAGAGAGGAGAAAACTCAACACTAAACCTTAGGTCAGCCTGCCAGGTTAACGTCCTCTAAATTTAGTGGACGTAAGCCTGAAACAGGCTGAAAATGACTTTCAGGTTTGTTAACCCAAAGTTAGCCCGGGGCCAATGCGACTGCCAGTGGGGTTAAGTTGCCGTAATTTGGCAGTTTAACCCAACAAATGTGAATGCTCTTAGAGATAGCCAGTGGGTACCCGGCACCCATCCACAGGTACCCGCAGATACCATGAGGTACCCACGGGCGGGTGCCGGGAAAGGGTGTGGGTATGCATTTCAGAGCCCACAAAAACCAGGTACCGGTGTACTGGTTGGGTACCCGCAGCTCAGCATCCCTCCTCTCCAGATTGTTTTATCCAAAAAAATCTGGAGAGTGGGCCTAATACCTCACCATGCCTCGTGAGGTTGTAGACACACTGGGAGAGTGCTGTCAATGACAGCACTCTTCTTCCTCCTCCTGATTGTTCGATCAATATAATCTAGAGACCTGTCATAGTTGAGGTACCCATGGTACCTGCCCAC